GGATTTGTGAGGACAGCAGATGCGTGCCCAGAGTTTGCTCACTGATACAATACAATCGACCACCCATTTCCCCAGGTCGGGATGTCAACCATTGGAGTTGTTGATTCACTGATTTCAGAAACAAGTCATCAAAAGGACAGTCTTTGCAACCCAGATCATAATATTGTATTTACAGACACACCCACATTAGATACCCTCTTCAGGGAAGATTTAGAGAAATGATCCTACCCAATGAATGAGATCCTACCCAAACGAACAAGGAAAATAATTACATCTACAGAGTATTCACACACCCCAGGGAAATAAACCAGAGGAGAGCATATTAAAAAGGGGTTTATTATATCATTCATCAGTTTCCTTGGCTCAGATGCTCTCTGTCCCCCTGAAAACTCACCTCTTCAGAGCCTGTTGCACTGGTTTCCCTGACTCACCAAGTCCTGTTTTAGTACCTCAGGGACAAAAGCTGTGTCATCTTGGAAAATGGTTAAGAGCACCTCGATGCTCCCTCGGTCTGTATCACTACACAACAGAAGGTTTTATCAAAGGTCCCCATGTGAGGAAGACTGAGGCACACCAGGCAATCCCCGTCCCTGAAGAGTGGATGGAAGATCTGCTGATTGACCAAATCACAAGAATCTGACACTGAGGGAGGAACACTGGGGTCTCCTGAGGGGGCCACAGAGGATGAGCTGATGTACAGCCTGTCTCTCCTCTCCTCTCCTCTCTGGAGTTCTTTCTGACTGAACCTTCACTCTGAAACAAAGATTCCACTCTCTCAGGTTTATATGATGGTCCATCCCCTCTGCTACAGGGTCTTAATTACAGGAGTTGACGGGAAGCTAAGGGAGCCCTCTCTACAAACCTAATTTCTTGTCTTTATAGACACTGGGCCCTGATACTGTGTAAATATACATTGGAACACACCCATGTACCTTCAAGAAAACCCATGAGTTACTTTTTTAGAATCATACTTGAGAAATAAATGTAGTCATAAGGAAGCTAGTGGCATTTAATTTATGTACAATTCACATGTGACTAAAAACACTTTGGTTGATATCTTAACAATTTTCAAAATAGAACTTTAATAATAACTGGCTGCTAATCAAAAGGTTGGAGGTTTGAGACCACCCCAACATGCCTCAGAAGAAAACCCTGGTGACTGACTTTTGAAAATTCAGCCATTGAAAGCCTCTGGAGCACAGTTCTACCAGACACACAGGGGATCACCATGAGTCGGAGTCAACTCAACGCAACTGGTTTATTCTTTAAGGAGGTGATGGAACCTACTACGAGTCAGAGACTATGCTGGGAATAGTATATAATTTAATTTAAACACATCTCACCTCTAGGTGATTCTGTGAATTTTTTCTTCTTTCTTGTTTCTCCCCTCTCCCCGACACTAATATAGATCCTGTGCCCCAAGTTTCAGAAAAAGAAGGGGGTATGATATAGGCAAACATCCCTGGTGGTGCAGCAGTTAAGCACTCGGCTGCTAACCAAAATGTTGGCAGTTCAAACCCACAGCCATTCTGCAGGAGAAAGATGTGGCAGTCTGCTTCCCTAAAGATTACAGCCTTAGAAACCCTGTGGGGCAGTTCTACTCTGTCCTAAGGGCCCCTGTGAGTCGGAATGGATTTGACGACAATGGGTTTGGTTTGCTTTATGATACAGGGAGGGGAGCGCCACAGAGGCAGAAAATGGAGGGGAAGGGCGAGCTCATTAAACTCACATTAAACAATGATGGCTTATACTTCATCGTCTCAGCAAAGAAAAATACCCACTACATTTCTTTGTATGTTTACAAACATATAATATCTCCTATACACAGAAAACAGAAGCATCTCCTATGTACATGCTGCACTCAACACAGAAATCTGGGTCCTTAATCATCCAGTGGAAGAAACGCTACGTTTGGGGTTTAAATCCCACCTCTGCTACTTGATAGCAGTGTGACTTTGGAAGAGTCCTTAACCTCTCTGAGCATTAGGTTTTTCCTTACTAAAATGTGGATAACAACACCTACCTCATAAAGTACTTGGAAAATCAAGTGATATAAAGTACACGAAGAAAATTTAATCATTGTAACAACTCTGGAAGGCAAATGAAGTCTTTGCTTTACAGAGGAGAAAACACGCTCAAAGAAGCCAAATGATTCACCTGAGACCTGACAAGCTAGTAACGAATCCACATGACTCAAACACTCAGATGGCCTTTTTTCCGCGGCAGAGATAAATTCCGTCTCCCCTGCTGCCTCTCTTGTGGGTTCTCAGACGTGGAAAGGTTTTCTAGCCATGGTCCTTCTATCTCTGCTGGCTTCAGGGCTGTCCCTACTCACAGTCCCTCGAGTTAACGAAGTAGGCCAAACGTGATAGTGTGCGGCAATAAAAATGTCACCAAAGCATCTGTAAGTCAGAAACGGAGAAGACAGGATTTGGAAACCACCATGCCTGCATATGGCACACCACTGGACCAACAGCCTGAGGGGAAAGACGGAAGTATAGGGAGGCTGATAAGGCATGTACCATTTTGAACCTTTGCTGTTCCTATCATTACCAACTCCTTTCACTGAGGAATCGTAGCTGTGCAGATTTGGTCTTCACATTCCGAGTTTAATTCCACGCGGTCCCAGAGGCCTCTGTGTGGCCCAGTGCAGGGGCTAGTTTACTAGAGCACCCCACACAGAGTGCTGATCCATGTCACCAGTCCACACGGTGCCTTTAAAGGGCCTGCAGAAGCCAGGGGCCCAGGGCCAGGTGAATGATAGTGACAGTCAGGATGGCAGTAAGAAGTTATCCATCAGACCAACTACCCAAAATCCTTTCTGCCAGGAGAAACCCAGGCTCTTTTTCCTTCATCTAGAACCTGAAATGCAAAGGCAGATGGTGAATGAAGAAAGTAAGCCACTGAAAAGGTGGCACAAGTCCTAAAACTGAGAGACCTGAATGTTTCTGAAGAACCAGGTTTTATTTCCGGTTCAATTAGTTCCATCCATCAATATCCTGTTTGGTGTGCTCATCTGTCTGACACGCTGATAGTTAAGTAGCAGTGCTAACTGATGACTCGATCACGCAGGGCAGAGCTTTCCCATGAGTCTGTATCTGTCAATTTCAGTACATGATGGTATTAACTATCCCATGAATACTCCACTATTAGCCTAACATTTTTTTCCAGTACTTTCTATTCATTTTGGAAATTCAGGTTAGTCAGGATCCTATTTCCTGAGGAAGAAGGAGACAAACCATTATCCCAAGGAAAAGGTTCATTAGCAATAAGAAGGGGGACATTTTCTAAAATGTGTGTTTCTATTACTCTCGTCTTTCACCTCCACACCGAGCCTTCCAAACTCAGCTTCCTGATGCTGGGGCTGGGACTCTGCAGACACACTTCTCCTTTGCTACCTGACTCCCTGTCGGGATTGACCAGTAGGGGGCGACAGAGGGAGCATGCGAGGCTGGAAGCAAGAGAAAGAACTTGGTCCTTCCTGTTCCTGTCAGGGTTACCCCAAGTAGCAGCTGCAGTTGGTTCCACTGTCCAGCTTTATTTCACATTCCCAGACCAGCCTCATCACACCTCCTGAGAGATGCCAGCACCAAGAGGAAGGTAGCACTTTCTCCACAGGAATTCCAGCTCCTCAGGGTCCTACTTGAGCTTCTAAGTCATGATAGCCCCGATGGCTTCCTTTTGCTCTCTCAACCACAGGGATGGGGCTGCTTCCCCACACTCAAGCCCCATGTTTGCCATTTACCTATCTGTCCAATATTTGTCATATTAATTTCTTATATCAAATTGTGTTAATTCCCGTAGTTTCTATTTTGCTGACTAACCAAACCAAACCCACTGCCATCGAGTTGATTCTGTCTCATAGCAATCTATAGGACAGAGGAGAACTAACCCATAGGGTTTTCAAGGCTGTACAATCTTTATGGAAGCAGACTGCCACGTCTTTCTCCCGAGGAGTGGCTGGTAGGTTCAAATTGCTGACCTGTTGGTTAGCAGCCAGGTGCTTAAGCATTGCACCACCAGGACTCCTTCTTTGCTAACTAGAACCTGATTAATACAGCATGTTTGAAGGCTACAACTTCATTTATAATAGTGATTAAAAGACATCAATCACACTTGACTTGGAATCTCAATTCTGCTACTTAGTATCTAGCAATTTTGGAAAATACTTCACCTCTCTAGGTCTCATTTTTCTCAATCACTTTCACTTATCCAATTAACATTTATTGAGCACCTACTAAATGCCAGGCCCTGTGATCAGCAACAGAGATACAATGGTGTGCAAAACAGTTCAGTTCAATTCCCTGATCTACCAGGACGGGCTGTTGTTGGAATCAGATGAGATAATACACATGAGGGAGTTAGTATAGTGCCCAGCATGTCACCAGCCTTTCTGCCCATACAACGACAGGAGAACAAAGATGAATGGGTTTTGAAGAAAAAAGTGTTGCAACAGTTAGGTCTCTTCAGAAAATGAGACAAGCATTTTTTCCCCAAACAAGGCTGAAGGTCTCAGTCAACATAACGCTAGAGATTCACTGTATGCCCTACCCATTCCTCCTGTTCAGAGCAGAGAAGAAATGACTTTTGCAGTAGCATTCATTCCAAATGAAATGGGACAAACTAGTCCTAGAGAGGGAACACTACAAGGTGGTAGTTTTTAGAAATTCCAAGGAAACAGGTACCTGTGATATTGAGAAAAGAGCAACAGGAGCTGCAAATCAGGGCTAGGACTAGAGCCTGGGATGGGGTGTGAGTGGAAGAAGCTAATATTCCAACGACAACAGTCACGACAGAGTCTTTTTATCATAAAGAATAAATATATAATCTACATATGTATACATATATACACAAATACACACACACACACACACACACACACACATATATATATATATATATATACAGTGAAACCTGTAAGAGCTGGAACTCAATGGGACTGCCTTGTTTTTCCAGATCTTGCAAGTTTTCTGCCTTTGACAGGGTGCAGTCTTACCACTTTTCTATCACTCTCTATTTAAAGAATCCTACCTCATAAACACCCAGAAAGTATTTCTTTCCGAATTTATAGCTGGAAAAGAAACTAAACCATGTTTTATGACTTGTATGTTTATTAAAATTATGTACAGGTATGTGCATATACTATTCAAACAAAGCTATGGGTGAAAGTCACTTTTTAATAAAAACATCTAATGTCAACTGTTTAGTTTGTTTTGGTTTTTTGATGAAATTATTGAAACAAATTTCTAAGTCCGTAGCCTTATCCAAAAACTCTTGGTCTCCTTTAGCTTTTCCAAACTCCTTCAAAGCCTTTACATAGCTGAGAACTTGCGTTTGACTTAAAGGCTCAGGTTCTTCTAACGGCAGGTCTTCATCATCTTCATCGTCATCATCTTTAAATTGCGAGTCCACAATTTCCTGCAGGTTTATCTCGTCCATTTCTGTAGCAATTTCTTTGTCGATGTCAACGTAGGATGCAGCACTGACCCTATTTTCTGAAACACCACTGTAAATGTCATTTATTGCATCCTGAATCTGCATGATGTTATCTGGCTCAATGACGGTTTCGTTCTGTATACTATCACCACTGCCAAATAAGAAACCGCAGTTCTTAAAGCATTTCCTTATGGTTTCTTCCTTAATCATTTTGATTGATCGCTTAAGAAATGAAATTGCATCAAGGACGTCTATTTTCCCTGAAATCTCCGATGCCATCTTGCACATCTCGATGTTGGCAACCACTTTTTGAAGCAATAGTTTCCTGTAGTTTACTTTAATATTTTGGATAATGCCATTATCCAGAGGTTGTAGGACAGATGTCGTGGATGGTGGGAAAAAAACTAATTTAATATTGGACAGGGGCAGTGACCGATGACAAATAGCATTGTCAACAAACAAAAGAATGCTTCGATTTTGTGTTTTCATGCTGTTGTTGAGTTTGTTTAAAAACTCTTCATAAATTGCTCCTGTCATCCAAGCTTTTTTATTCCATTTCCATTCGACTGAAAGCTGATTAATTTTGATGTTCTTGAAGCAACGTGGTCTCTCGCTCTTTCCAATTACCCATGGTTTCTCAAATGTCCCATCTGCAAACGTTGTCAAGAGGACGGTAAGCCGCTCTTTCGAAAACCGACCCTGAGCGCATTTCTCCCCCTTCATCTTCAGGGTCCGGTTAGGCATTGCCCTGTAAAACAGAGCAGTCTCATCGGCATTTGCAACGTCTTTAGGATCATATCCCCTTATGATCTCTTTTAATTTTGTGAACCAGTTTTGAACAATGTCTTTGTCACCCTCATTTGACTCCCCACAAGCTACATTGCAAGTGATTCCATGGTTTTTCTTGAAGCTCTGAAGCCACCCATTAGACGCTGAGAATCCATCAACTTTTAAAAGTTTTGCTGTTTCCTTCGCCTTTGCTTGTAGGATGCGTCCTGAAATGGGAACATTTTTGGCAGAGGCTTGAAGAAACCACTCAAAAACAGATTTGTTGATTTCTGCATAATTTCCATCCCTTTCTTTTTTGACGTTTACATTGGTGCTGCTCATGTATTTTTCAATTATTTTATCCTTTTCTTTCATAATTGAGTATATTTGCGTTTTGCCACACTTGAACTTAATTACAGCTTCCTTGACAGTCTTCTTCTCTTCGGTTATCATTTTGACAACGTCAAACTTTTCCTTCAGAGATAAATTTCTCACTCTCTTGTCCATGGCTGTGAAGGAATAAGCTTTTTTAAAAAAGGAAACAAAAAAGGAAATGAGTTCTTACAAAAATTAAGTAATTTATGATCTTATCTTCTTGAAAATGTGAATATCTCAAACAAAAAGAAAAAAATGAAAACTATCAACATCATTATATGATAAAGTTAATACACTTCAGTAAAATATTTAAGGAAGAAAACCACGCGAGAAGACTGTTTTTGCTTTTGTACATGTATTAAATGTGTTACGTGAGGAAGTGTTTCTCTACTTTTTGGGCAAAACAAGAAACGCTGAAGGAAAGAATTTCAAGGAAATGAAGTGGATTTTGAAAACTGTAATAATGTGTATCAAAATTACAAATAGCTAAAGCAAAAACTAAAAATTAAAGATAAGGAGAAGAGTAAAATCTCTCAACACAAGGAAAAAAGTGTACTTTGCTAGATTTTGATGACTATTAGGGAATTCATTACAGCGAAACCTGTGAGAGCCAGAACTTGACAGGACTGCCTTGTTTTTCAGGGTCTCGCCAAGTTTTCCACCTTGACGGGGTGCAGTCTTACCACTTTTTTATCACTCATTTTAGTGGAAAATATTTGAGTTTTCCTTCTCTGACAGATTTCCACCTTACACAGGTTCTGGCTTTCACAGGTTTTACCGTAGTATCTCTTACCTTCTTCCAAATTTATGGATGTTGTTCTTTGCTGGAAAAAATTTACAGGCAAGAAAAAAAGGCAAAAATGTAAAGAAAAAGACGTACTCAGAGAACAGTAGCGATGCAGAGTATGCACTCACACACAGTAACAATGCAAAAGGCAGTGGAAGACTGAGTCTTCATCTCTGACTCTTGTACTTCTTGGAACTATTTCTGGCTTTCACATCTGCACTTCCTCGTATTTGGGTTGCAATACCAACAATTTTCTGATCCGATCCACATCTCGCAGGTTCCGGCTTTCAGAGAACATTTATTAGGCTGAAGGAATTGTTTAAGTGGAAAATATTTGAGTTTTCCTTCTCTGACAGGTTTCTGCCTTACACAGGTTCCGGCTTTTGTAGGTATACATATATAAAATTTGAAATGAACCTGAATTTACTTTATGCTTTCTGTAGTAGGACTATATATCTAGAGAGGCCAGGGAGGTGACAAGATGGAAAAGAAAGATTTGAGATTCCACTTAAGCCTGAATTCAAAGGCTGTGGGCAAAGAAAAGCTGGAAAGAATTTCAGTCTCCACATTTTGACGTGATCCTTCCTTGGTCTTCGGCTATACAGACATCAGGCAAACGTGGCAGGATAGCCAATGTTCTCATTAGCAAGGAAGTATTTCTGCAAGACTTCTATGTCGATAAACTCTCCAAAACCATTTCTACAACACATTGATATCCTATAAATGCAAACTAAACTCCTTACCCTCAATTTTTTATTCATTTTGACATCACTATGACCTTCAAAACTCACACTGAAAGAAAACCACCGTGGGGAATTATTATTAGAAGGCTTATCCCACATCCTTGCTCTAGGGCCTCGTTATAATTTACTGTCATTGAAGGAATTTAGAGTTCCATAGGCATGAAAAGCCTAGAGAGAGTTTTATTCATAAATAAATGCCAGCACTTAAACAATCAAGACAGCTTCAAACTCCAGGGCTATTGAAACGAACAATACACACTGCCTGGATGATTTATTATGGTTGTGTTCATAGTCCAAGTGGGAAGATAATTCAATTTCACCTCAAGAGTCATTCTTTGGCCAAGCCCAAGAGAAATACTTTGGAAAAGGGGTGATATTTCTCAGTTTTTCCATTTCAAACCAATTATTATTTCCGTATTTAGGACATCACCCTGCCAATTCCTTTCATGACTTGTAGTACTCTTGAGTACTTAAAAAATATATAGAATATTGAAGAGTAAGGGACAAATGCCAAATTCAAAATGACCCACGGAACACTGAAGAGCCCCAGAGAGCACCGATGTCTCAGACATAAGGTAAAAGGGATCCCTTCTGCTCCAGAAAATTTAAATGAGCAATGACAACGCATCACAGCAAGAGCATTATTAACCAGCAGAGGCAACTGCTAAATACAGACTTCGTCTCCAAACAAGCCTCCTAATAGGAGATGTGAGCAAAAAGTATCCCCTGATGAGTTGGAGAAACACCACTTGGCAAAATATCTTAACTGTGGCACATGTCAGTATTCCCTCTCATTCCCTTTGCCACACCTTGAGATCAATCAGGGGGTAGAAGAGCCTATTTGTAATATGTCATTTGATTTGGGAGACCACGTGCCAGAGCTGGTGAGGGCAGAGAGGCCCGGGCCCATCAGGACAGCCCCCGAACCCTGGGCTTACATACCATCCAGGCCATTGTGATGACTGTAGTTTCTTTTCCCCAGAATGCTCAGAGCCATGTGATTCGGGGTGGTTAGCATTCGCTTGGTAGTTGGGGTTTGCAGGCTTGGTGTAGATCGGATTGCATTAGGTTTCTTCGCAGGATGGATCTCTGACGGGGAAAAAGGTTTCTCAACTCAGAACACGGTATTAAAAATCTCTGTGCGCACTTAACATTTGCTAATAGACACACATCTTATTAATGAGCTGAGTCAACTCCTTAGGAGCTGGCATGTTTTCCCAAGGACCTGCATAATGAATCAGCTTCAAGTGTTGTTACCATGACCTTACTTATCAAAAGCGAGCTAGTTCCTCCCCTGCTGGCTGGAGCTCCGAGCCTAGTGTTGTGAGTACAAGCAAAAAAACCACTTCAGAAGGTCACTTGCAACATGAGCTTTACTAAGGCAATAAAGGGATCTGACTCTTCAAGGTACTAGAAATCAAGAGGTTATCTGGAGAGGTAGCCTCAGAAAAAACCACCTCTCAGCTTTGTCAAGACAGGAACATGGAATATATCTGGTGGGTGAAAGCTTTCTGGAAAACAGGATTCCTTCTCCAGCTGTGCAACCAGGGTATGGGACCAGGGTCAATCACTCCCAGCCCAGAACATTTTGGTATAGATGAAATCTGAAACCAAAGTCCAAAAACAATAGTCAAGAAGTAGCAGAAGAAAAGCTTTAACTAAGGATACATCACAGAAGTGTAATGTGCACGTGGTGTATGTGTTTAAGAGAAGTATACTGTTGCCAGGCATGTGGCCCAAGAACTACTTGCATCTTTTGGATAGAGTAGAAGGACGGAAGTTGCAATACTGTAGGAATTGGATGTATTTAAGGGCTTCAGTCTTACTAGCACTGGGCAACCTCTTCTCCAAAGCTTACCCTGCTCACTGCTTCTCAACGTTGTCGCCCAGCACCCCAACTGAGCGCGAGCCACTCCATCTGTCTCCTCACCCTCCCATCCAAGATGAGGGCCAGCATATCAGCCCAATTTGCTAAACTTAGGTAAGGCTGTTGGGATTGTTAGAATTACTACATCTTGGTCTGGTGAAAATCCTGTGCTTGCAAACATTTAGAAATGGCTCAAATACTGCCCAAAACCATAGTCCTGATTTATTTTAACACAGTATGGAATGTCTGCCAACTTCATCTTTCATTACAACGTCCACACCCCAAGGCTCCACCCAAACCAGACAACTTGCTTTCCTTAAACTTTCCAGGTCCTTGGGCTTATTGGAACCTTTGTGCATCTGGTTCCCTTGGCCTTCCGTAGGGAGAAAATGTTCTTTACCTATTTTTCAATCTATTCAAATCCTATTCATCTCTCAGGGCCGAGCTCAAATATTACCTTCTTCAGGTAAGCTGCCCTAATATACTCATCAGAAATAACTATTCCTTGCCTGTAAGTGCCCAGTGCATATTACTTTTAATTCTTTTATAGGACTTAGTCCTTTTCCTTGTAGTTCTTACCTGTGTTCTTTCCCCACTAGACTGTTAAGATTTTTAAGGGCCAGGTTTATTCATCTTGGTGTCCCCAAATCACTGAATACAGTGTCTTGTACACAGCAGATACTCAGGAACATGTTGTATATGGGTGTGGTTCAGCTAGTAAGGACAGCACAGCATTGGGATTATCTGGTAGGGGCAGAGATCAATTTGCCCACAGGTGGAACACACACATAATTACCTATGGAAAGGCTGACTAACATGCACTTTTATATTCTATCTTTTTATGATCAAAACCTTTCCCTTTCAAGGTGGGAAGGGGCTTCAAGGATTAGGTTTTGAAAGGGAATAGACAACAATCTTCAAGGACTTTACCATCATGACCTAGGTCACGCCTACAATAATCGTGTGATGTTTTTGGGGGGATAGCAAAGCAACTTTAGTCCCTGAGGAATAAAACAAGAAATTTAGTGGCAGAATAAGAGCAAAGAAGGAGCTATGGGCTTTTGACTTCTGGGATGCTCTGAGGAGGACCAGATAGCATAACAAGTTCAAGGCTATACTTTGATTTTTAAAAGACTGGACATCTAAAGTCTGAATACTTCATAACTACAAATCTCCCTGACAGAGCAATAAGGCTCAATGCAACTCTGAGTACATATTTCACTTTTACAGAGAAAATGAAAAAGCAAGAAATATTAGAAGCACAGAAACATGTCATTCATTCTTCTGGGTGTATTAGGAACCATTATTTTGTAAATTATTTATCTTAAAACTTTGCCAAAAAAAAAAAAAAAGTTATTGCTAGTAGTCTTTTTGTATACTAACCTTGATTGTGGAATTTCAACATGTAAATAGAACCATCATCCGTGGAGACTTCTGAGTTAAACAGTATGATAAAAACCAGAAAGTGATACAGATGCTCCTCTTTCAAAGTAACCTTAATTGGTACACCAAAACTATAAATGTTTTTTTAAAGTCAAGTTAAAAATCAGTTCAATCTCAACATTTCGAGCATGTTTACTGTCACTAAAGTGTACATGTGAAGACTGTTGAAACGGCAAATGTTTTGTTACCTATTCATTTACCACAGTTAAACAAAATCAGCTCAATCTCATTTTTGTAAAAGTAAGCAAATAAACCAATCCTTCTCTGTTTAAGGGCAGTAAAAGAAGCTAGAAACGGTAGAAGAATCTAAATCAAAATATTCACCCTCTAAAAATATTCATCCTCTAAGTAATAATTGAGTGATTATTTTTTTCTTTTTGCTTAAGCTGTGTTTATTTCTATAAACACACATTACATACATTATCTTAATTCAGTGATGTTTTTGGGAAAAAGTAAGCATATCCAAGACTCTGCGTGTATTGAATGTGTGTGTGTGTTGATAATAAAAATAAAAGTTTCTAAAACAAACTGACTATACATATGAAGGTATATGATTTCAACTATATGGAAGGCTTGAGTTTAGGTCAAATATCCATAAAATACAGAAATTGTTCTTTAAGTTGCTGTTCTTTTAGAAAATACCCACCTAAATACCCAATGATACATGCCAAAGGCTTCCTAGTGCTTTTGCTTTTCAGTGGACTTCCAGATAGCTCGGCATGTCTGTCTGCATCTGAGGAGAGAAAGAAATATGAAGACAACCAGTGAGGCTGATTTCTCCACCTACAGCACACACACTGCAAAAATGAAAGCTGCAAGTGGAAAACAGTGCAAAATATCCACCAGATTCCTGCATAATTTCCCTTTGGGTTAGAAGAAACCATTGCTAGTTCTGGTTACAAATTACTGAATGAGGGATTTACCTGGAGAACACTCATTTTAAAGCCCCACACGGGTGTACCTAATATACATCTGACACACACGTGCTTTGTTACTGTGTGTGCCCATCTGAAAAGCACTGGAAACATGCTTCTTTCTGGCCACTGAATTTCTACATAATAGGACATTTTCCATAAAATACAAAGTGGAATCTGTCCTAGTATAAGACGAATTGGGCATGGGAAATAAGGATGGTAGCTGAAAACGGCAACACACGAGGCCATCCTTGACCTAGATGGAGTGGGTCACCATTGAAAAGTCTTAGTTCATCTTTTGGCAAAATTCAATTCCATTAGATGAGAGCCTCATGAGGGAAATAAGGGGCCACTTGGTTTTATCACTTCATTTCTACCCCTCATATTCTACTATGGTATCATTAGTGCTAAGATTTAAACGGTTACCTGTTTCCAGACAGTTTTTGATCCATCAGTCAGAATAGGAAGATTCTGTGAGGATGGATATTAGCTCTTAAGAGTTGTCATCACACTGCTCAGACACTATCATAGGACATCTCAGACAGAAGAAAATGAAGCGCACAACACAAACACTATCTGTGCTTTAATTAGCTGTCATTTGGATGGAGAAGAGAATATGTGGAACACAGCTACCTCTCCAATCAAAGAGCTACATTAAAAGAATAGCTTGCAGGGACAAAATGTGTACTGAAACTTTTCAAAAATTTGCAGATATTGTCATAAAGCTTAACAGAGTAGCTTTAGGAGATATGATCCTACTATGCTTATGCCTTTTCCCCACCTTCAAACATTTGACAATAATGTCCTACAGGTTTCCTAATTCTACCAGACGAGTGTCCCAGGCATCCAATTTTTCTCTTTGCCAGCTGAGACCATGTTTCTAGGCACACGTACAGGAATTTTCCTTTGATATTTACAGAAACTCTGAGCTGTTAGTGTTAAAATGTACAGTCTAGAACTTGAAATAATGTAAAATAAAATTTAATGTTTTTTATGAGCTCCCGCCATCTCTTACCCAGAAGAAAGGTTTTTCTAATAACTATTAAATAAAAGGTGGGAAAATAACATTTTTAAAAACACAAAGTAGACAAAAGCATATACTGTGGAGAGCAGCAAACAATAGGAATGTGGATGTGTAGCTGGAACACTGACTAATTATTATGCAAACACTGACAACTATAAATGATCCATTTTGTTTTCCTCCCATTCAGCTGATTCCCTTCAGAAAAAAATAACTAAGCTATGAAGCTTTTCACCTGTTGTTGAATAACAGGCAGAAATCTAAAAAGCATTTTTTGGAGAAGTAATCTAAACAAACATTAAGAGGCAACTTGAATTCTGCAAGGATCAAACATCTGTCAAATCACTGAGAGTTAACACTAAATAATTCCTTCCTAATATCACTAATTCACCTAAAATTCAAGTTATATTTGGGATGAAGATGAGAAAAATTTCTTTCTTCTCTATTATTAAAACAAAACTTGATGAATCATCTTGGTTACTTCTTCAATATCTTGGACAAAGACAATGCTGTACTCAACTCTGCTCTTCATTCCACAGTCTATGAAGCCCAAAGGAAAACTGCCAAAGAGGCAGCAATTGATGGGCTTTCATTGATGACAAAAATTAACAAATCCATGAAAGGGTCAACACAATACCCAAAGACACTGCATTCATTTCCCCAAAGATATTTCATTTTAAGTTGTACTAATTTCCTTCTAATTTCTCATTATATTAGCAAGATTAATTACGTGATGTTCCAAGTGACAATTTACATCACAGAGCATCTATGAGTGGGGGATTAAAGCTCTTTAGAAGGATCCACATTTCACTAATCCTCATTATCATACAGCAAAACCTTAGAAAGCTGGAACCCGTGTAAGGCGGAAACCCGTCAGAGAAAGAAAACTCAAATATTCTCCACTAATAAAGAGTGACAGAAAAGTGATAAGACTGCACCCTGTCGAAGGAAGAAAACTTCAGACGAGGCCTGGAAAAACAAGGCAGCACTGCTGAATTCTGGACTTCTCAGGTTTCACTGTAAAGAAAACAGTGGCAAGAGTTACAACTATGAAGAATTTGGGATGAAAGATGCTGAGCCTACCTCGTTGCTGTTTAATAGAAGAAAAATTACACTCATTCAGTGATATACACTGAATAGGAATGGGAAAAATACATTCTGCCCTGAGGGAATTATCACGAACAGAGGATTATCAGGTCCACACTTGAGCTAATTAAAAAGAATCCTGGTCTACACTGAAGACCAGGCCCGTGTGCCACTTGTCAGTCTTAGCTCACAAATTACTCATCTAACACCAGAGACGATTCATTCGGATGCCTTCAAGGTGCACAGATAAACACACACACACACACAAGAAGTGCCGAAAGAGCCCAGAAGGCTCCGTATCTGCCCAGAGAGAGGAGAACATCTACACTTCATTTGAATCACCTTACTAAACACAAAGGCACATTTCTTTGGCCTCCTAGAGGATGAGACCTACGTCTCCTCGATGTAAACCTTGAAAAATGCTGTTACTTTTACTGCAACTCAAGGGTATTTTTCTGCAATGTTTTGGAAATATTGGGGGTGGGGGATGGAATAGAAAAACTGCAAGAAGAACACACTGAATAAAAATTCACAAACATCTCACATGGGATTTCAAGATCTTGATCAGAATAAAACCATCAGTATAAATTTCTGATAGGAATTGTAAAAGCATTTGTAAGCAAGACACAAAAGCCAGGGACCATAAAACAAGACTGATAAATTTAACTACGTTAAAAAAAAATCTGCTTGGAAAATACACCATGAAGTCAAAAGACAAACTGGGGAAAGTATTTGTATCACATATCACAGATCAAGAGCTCATTTCCTTAAAACAAAAAGCTCCCCCAAGGCAATAAGAAAAAGTCTATCCATCTCATTGGAAATCGGCCAGGGGCAAAAATAGTTGACAGAAAAGGAAATTCAAATGGCTTTCAAATATCTGCAAAGATTTTTATCTTACTCATAATGAGAAACACAAATTAATGTGTCACTTGTCAGCTAGTCAAGGGTTTCAAAGATGGAGAACACTGCTGACAAGGTTCTAGAAAACAGGCGTTCTTCAGACATTGTGAGTGAGACGGTAAATTGTAGTTTTTCTGGAAGGCAAGTGGGTAATGACTATCAAAACTCAAAACTCATATTCCTTGACCAGTCATTTTACTTCTCAGGATCTATAACATACAATCACATTCCACACATTCATGTGAAATGCCATCTGTACAGCGATATTTGTTGCAACATTACTTTTAATCGAAAATAACCTAAAAATATTTAATAGGGAATTGGTTAAATTATGCATATTAGGCAACTGATAAAAAGGAGGTAGCTCTCCATGTACTGAATGGCCTCCGAGATATGTTAAGTGAAAGAAGCAAAGCGCAGAACAATGTAGAAATGTGCTAATATCTGTGTAAAATCAAAAAAAAGATACATCTAGATTTTTACGGAGCCCTGGTGGTGCAGTGGTTAAAAGCTTGGCTGCTAACCAAAAGGTCAGTAGTTCGAATCCACCAGCTGCCCCTTGGAAACTCTATGGGGCAGTTCTACCCTGTCCTTTAGTCAGTATGAGTTGGGACTGACTCAACGGCAATGGAGGTATTTTTAGATTCTTATAGATGCACAGAACACCTCTGGACAGACATGTAAGACACGGATGAAAGTGGTTACTTCTGAAGAGGATAAACTAGGAATAGGAATGGGGATGAAATTCATAACCACTTATGTACCTTTAGAAAAACTTAAAAGTATCCATTCAAAAACAAATTTTTATTTAAAAAAATCAAAAATACTAAAATAACTCAAAATATATTGTTTAGAACTTAAAATTTCACAAAAGTGTATAAAGTTACTAACAGTAACTTCTGCTGAGAAATCAATAACTCATAACAAATTTCTCATGAAGACGGAGCCTTGGATGCTTCCCAAGTCGAATTAGCATCTTTGAACAGAAAAAATGGCTTCCGAGTGCCTTCTGAAGAACTCCATACTGGGGAATACAGCTATCATCTAAGCCTACTGTGTTATCCACTCAGAAACCACTAAACTATGCGAGGTGCAAAGTGGCAGGTGAATCATTTGGATCCACTTCTCTAGGCAGTTTAGCTTCATCTATGGAATGCTGCTAATGTAGCCACTTCTACTTAACCTTGCTCACTTTTATTTGAGGATCTTGAATTTCAAACAGTAATAATCCTGTTCTCAACAGGTGCTGGATGATTTTGTCATGTGATAACTTAGCAGTAATGTCTGATAACAAATGTCATGTGGCAATAACAAAGGAGGGACACCATTATCACACTGCAGCTTTTTCACTGGCGGGGGGATATCTAGAGTGAGAAAAGACAGGGTGTCTGAAACTTGATGTAGTGTTAGAACCACGTTGTCAGTCTGCAAACCTGGTCAAGGACACAACACTTTCCTTTATGCAATGCTCTGATTTTTGGTCTACAAATCATTTTTTGATAAGCACTATCTAGGCGGTAGAACTGGCTTGGGCATTCTAAATGCTAGTAATTTTTGTCATGGACTTATATATTTATATATAAAGGTGGAATATATTCTTGAAACATTTAGATATTTGGGGAAATGTGTTTTAAAAATCTTTTCCTATACATTATCTCAAATGTATATATTCTTAAAACATTTGGTGGTCATTCTACATACTAATTTCCAATTTTAAATTATTTTTAAAATAGGAAATATATTCTTATGGTTCAAAATTGAAGTCTAAAAAGGACGAATGAACAGTGATGTCTCCCTCCTGCCTTTCCCTCAGCCCCCCAGCTCTCCTTCCCACAGATATTATTACTTCTTAATGTGCACAATCTCCTTTTACTATACTATATTCCCTAATAGAGGTTTTTAATGAAAATAAAGGCCACAGAGCGTTACTGTAACCAAGCCCCCCTCCCTCAATCCCTCTAAACAGGGATTAAGAACTCCTGATTCTACACTTCCCCCATGGAACTGAGAGCCCATCTCCCTGGCTCCCCCCACTCCCCACTCTTGTGCAGTCTGTTGTCCCATACAGTCTCTGGCTATGACACTAATTGTGATGGTGTTGCCAATGTCAGAAGCCAGAGCAGGGGCCCACCTCTATAGTGCACGTTAAGAGGAAGCCTCAACTTCCCTCCCCAACATTATGCGGAATTATACTAAAATGTATTGGAGTCCTTGGTCCATCAATGTTTTCAGAATTAAAAACTTCCACCTGATCTGAAAACACATTCATATTGCATGATAGTGATTCTTAACTCTTCTTTTGGGGGGGTGGGGGTATAGAGGAGAAATGAGGGTTGGTCACTGAGAAACCAATGAAAGCTGATAGACTTCTTACTGGAGAAAAAAAATGCACCTATATATTCTTGGTGGGCTGTAGACATGATTTTCTATGATTATTAACACCTAATCTTCTCACAAACAAACCAAAATTAAGAACAAGGGATCTGCTGAAGAGGTTGTTACAAGGTATATGCAAAAGGAGAGAAGATGATGAAAGAATCAATTAGATGCTAGGAAAAGAGTTCATTAGTGCTTGTTTCAAAAATTAACTGAGTAAACGGTTGCTGAAACCTTACAATTTTAAATCTCAAAAATTAATTCTTCAAAGAATCTGATTCTGTATGTAACTTGATGACCAATGAAGCTAAATACAAAATATACTCTTCGAATCTCATTGCAACAAATGATTCTTCTTTTTAAAAAAAGATCATGTGTTTGCAGAAATCGAACACAGGTAATCTTTTTTTTTATTTTAAAGCAGTATGCGCCTTCAATTAGGGGGGAAAAAAAAAGAACGAAGCAACAGAAAAACATATTTCACTGAAGAATAATCAAAATAAAGACAACATGCAAGCTGACTGAAAATTAACAGAAGAGCAACAGGAAACAGAAGCTTCCTCAGCAGCCAATTTATTTAGTTGGTGATGGTTTCTTTTTCATTCATTCATAGGAACAAAGATGATACTTGATCCCAGTCAGTTTTAATGGAAGAATTTCATTCATTTTCTTTCTCAAATGTTTTATTGATCTTTTTTTGTTTAAAAAAGTATGTATAAATGAATGTGTTTTGAATCAGCTGAACAGTTGAGGTAAATATAAATATTCGGTTTTCTAATTCCTTCTAATGGGTAAGGAAGTGATAATGACATAAGCCCACAAACTCGGAAATGACAGCTCGAGGCCATAGAAGCGCCAGTGCCCAATTATACATGAGTCTAATGGTGTAGCTTATTTCCCTTCCCTGGGCCTCTAAGATTGCTACCAATTTCTACTCCGTTTACAAAGCACTCTTCTTCTTCTTTTTCTTGTTACACAGCTTTTACCTGTAAGTTTCAGAGCCCTTCAACTCTTCTGCTGAAAATTATCTTTAGGAACAAAATTTTTTTTCAACTCCCTTTATCAATACTCTCTTGAAATCAAAGTAGAGCATCTGATAATAAGCTATTTCTCATTTTACAGAGAAAGAAAAAGCAACTAACTGAATGTCCTTACAATTTCCTGTTAAGCCAGAAAGCAACTTTTCTCCTCCCTTAGGGAAAAAAAGTTGCCTGGATCTAACAGGCTAACCAGGAATATGACTAAAAGTGGCTACAGTAGCATCAGAGCAAATATACAAACTACGGACACATTTCTGGATGCACTGGTAATAAGAGAACAATCCACATTTCACTGGTACATATGACCTCTGTTTTAACAAAAAATGAAACAGAAGCAAGACTGAATGTATTGAAAATGATAGTAATAAAGTCCTGTAAATGTTATGTGGAACTATATATGATACATGATTATGAAATGAAAACCGAACTGGACAAATAGAAAGAATGCTCAACCAAAAATTCAGACTCTAGCTTATAAAATAATATTTGTATTTTCATAAAATTCACCCCAAAGCACTTTAAAATTCTTTATAATTTGCCAAATCTTCTAATAAATACAGCATTTGTTATGAAGCACTGTGAAGTTCCATAATGTTGGATGACAATGGTAAAAGGATCGTGGGAAACTGAGAGGTTTACAGAGACATGCAATTTCTAATTACTGTAAATTGGCAAATTTTATTCAAGCCTCATGAATCCATGTAAGACTGGACTGCACTCTCTCAGTAACGGAGTCTCCCTACACACCATCCTTAGGGATTATATTGTGACACTACCTTATGGGTAAAAGTGCTTCAGTATGGGCCCTTTAGGCAATTCCATCACAAAACCTCATTGGATAGGATCATCACCGACCAATCTTCTGGAGAGCATTACTCTAACAAAGATTAGAGGTTTCAATGATTCTGGTTTTGTTTCTTTTTTTTCTTTTCAGGTTGGCATGATATAAATGGCAGCAGACAAAAATAATGTTAAAAAAATAAACCAAATAAAAGGCTGTACACAAGAACTTATGTTTATTGCAAAAAAACAAAAACAAAACAAAAACAAAAAAAGAGAGAGAGAGAAAGGGAAAGACAGAAATGGTCAGAAGCACAACATATAAGGTTAAGAATTTAAAAGCATCTTACATTCTGCCCTAATGGCAGCATAATTAATAGGAACAAACGGTCGTCTTGCTGCCTGCCGCAGCCGGAGGGTATTTTTGCAGACCTGACGAGCAAATTTTGTGAAATATGTAGTGTGAAGGAAGAAAGCTTGGCGAGTCTTCACTGCAGACTTTGGACTCCCAGTGTTTCGGACCGGCATCCCCTGCATGGCCTGGCGGGACATATGACTTCTAACACGGGGATCCTGCAAAATCAGAATCCAACAAGCATTTAAAGACTAGAACTTGTCAAAACACAGTACTACTTGCATCATGCTCAAAGAAAAGGGCAATTTTAAAATCTTCCACTGAAGACTTAGCACCGTAGCCCCAAAAAGAGAGAATTAAAAAGTGTGTACCTTTTGGGATGAAGGTGGGGATAGAGGGGGGAACTGGGTGGAGGTGAGGGTGTAATCCTACACTTGATTTTTAATAGACTGTAACAATCCAAAATCATATTCACAATAGTAAAAAAAAAAAAAAAAAAAAAATTGTCAAGGGAGTTAATTACATTATTTTATTTTAATTTTTTAATATTAAAGGAGTCTTGAGATACTGATAGCCCTGAAAGAAAAAGTCTCTCTCTGGTAGACATAGGTGCTTAATTTCTTCAGTGGACGAGAATTTCACCAAAATCACATTTCAACTGTCGTTCACCTCAAGACTGAGTCCATACCTTCTCGTCCCTCCTACAATAACCCAGGGAAAAAGTGCTCAATTTGTATTTATTTTATGTAGTAAGCCACATTTTCAACAGTATCTAAAAGCTGCAAACTATTTTCAAAAAAGCAACTAAGACAAATATTTAATTGGTAAGCTCCTTACTTATGCTAATACCTTCCACACACATTGTTCTTCCTTTGTCTGAATAATCTCAGAAGACCAATATTTTGAATACCTGAACATTTTTTATTTGTTCCTGTCCCTTTCTCCACACCCACCCTGAACATTGTGGTACTATGTTTAGCTATGAAAATAGCTTTGTTTGTTTTTAAATTACTGTAAACTGTACTCTGCTTCCCAGGAGTGCTCCAGTCATTAAAAAAAATATGACATTAAATGCACAACACGAAGAAGACTATTGTTAATGTACCTCTGTAGTTGGGCTGGGAGATAACTTCTCTTCTTCTGACTGGGTGGGCATTTTCAGGCCCCCATATTTTTTCCAGTATAGCCAACAAGTTGCACATAATCGACACTGCATATTAGGTGGACCCCAAGAATACCACTGGTGAGACTGTGTAGCTAAATATGGAGGAGAAATAGGAAAAAACAAAGAACGCTTTATTGCTAATTTGTAGCATCAATAACAAAACCAAACCCATTGCCACTGGGTCAATTCCAACTCACAGCTACTCTAGGGCAGAGTAGAACTGCCCCACACAGTTTCCAAGGCTGCAAAAATTTATGGAAGAAGATTGCCACATCTTTCTCCTGTGGAATGGCTGGTGGGTTCGAACCACCAACTTCTCAGTTAGCAGCCAAGTGCTTGACCACTGGGCCACAAGGCCTCCTCCCACATCAATACAAATATAATGAAATGTTTTGAAAAATGTTTCAAAGCCATCTTCAGTTTACAATGCTATTTTTCTTTCACCACCTTACCAGCCAAATACGAAAGTATAAGATATACATATATTTTTCATGACTCAAAGTTCATTTATTTCTACTTTATTATATCTATTTACTTACTTCTATTTTATTTCTGTTATATTATCAAGTGCTTGTGGCATCTATTAAGAGAAGCTATTGTAAGTGAAGCATCTTGTATTACGTGCTATGCTGCAGAAGAAATTTTTGTTTCGTTAATTAAAAATATTTTTCACTGTTTATGTCTCCGGAAATAAGTCCTCAGGAAGCTATTATTATTAGTTTTTTAAATCTACATTAAGGTTTCCAAACCTTCGGTTCAGGACGGTGCTCAGAGAGGACTCACTGATAAAGGCAGGAACGGAAATCCACTTTCCATTCTTTTATTTTAACCAACAGGCAAAATAATTATTTAAATATTTCTCCCTTAAAAACAGAACTCCTCTCAAGCCTATAAATCCATACCAACTGAGCAAAGTGCAGCTGAGATTACAGCATGCTTAGGACCTAATAACTCCATCGGTTTATCACTTAGCTGAACACTGCAAGCCTGTGTTGGCTTTGTTTTGTAGTTTAAATTACTGCCTTATAACATTCAAACTATGCCCACGATGGATCAGAAATTTAAGAGTGAAACACTGATGTGGAAACATAAATTAATGAGGTGCATACAAATTATTATCTGCCTCAGAATACTGTTCCCCAGATCTGTAAATTTCTTCATCAGATCAAAATGTTCACACAGCATATCAGGGTGTCGGCTAATACTTCATAAGCCAATGTCAACAAGAGGAAAGATAGGAAATTTGTATTCAAATTGCTTTTTCGTTTATTGGGAGTAACACCGCGCACCCACCGTGTGCTATGTTTGGAGGAGTTCTGGCAAACTGCAGCCTGAAATCCTTTCCTCTTATAATTTAAAAACAAACAGTAATTTGGTTTATTTAAGAACAAATTTGAAGAATTCTAAATATTAGGCCAGGGATCTACTTTAAAGCCTGAATATAAAATGTCATTCATATTTTAATATACATTTTTACCCAAACTTATTATGACGTCATTTTAGTATTTGTCAACAAATGTCTTTCTCCTTACATAATCAACTCAAATTCACTTAAAAAATGAGTATAATTTGATAAAATAGAAAACACCAAATTCTATCTTTCAGTAAAAGTAAATTTTATATTTACATTATATTAAAATATATTTTGACAGAGACTATTTAATATGGATCCAAAATATTATAAAATTAAAATGACTTGTTCATCATGCAGATAAAAATGACAAAATATTTAAAGGGATTTGTAAGACTACATATGAGTGTTAAAGGCATTTACAAATCAAAAGCAAGATAGATTAAGCCGTGACCATTTGTCTGAGGCATTCTTTTTATTTTCATTTAAATATAAATGAGCTTGAAAAACCTAAGAATTCCCAGTTCAAAGACATTTATACGCTACCCATGTAAAACCCTGACCAACAAAATCTTAATTTATCCACACACTGTTTCCCTTTGTGCTCCCAAGGTGCCGAAAGTGGTCAGATACATGGCGTGAACCGTTTTTAGGAAGCCAGTAATTTGTCTGACTCACATACTGTCCCTGAGATCAGGGGGATAATTATATGATTTGGTTTTAAAAGCCTTTTCTGATGCGGAAGCCTGGTATGAAGCATGGAGGAGAGGGGCAAATGTCCCCCACTTCTATGTCCTTGAGGCAGCAGGCTACATCTACCCCTCAAACTGCTGCTGGGAGGCAAAAACCTGGCACCAAGTAGACATTCATTCAGCATTTGCGTCCTTTCCTCTCCCACCCCAGGTCACTTTGATTGAAACAAAAAATAGATGATAATGTCACCAATGCTTCACTAAGAGATTATTGCTTGAAATTTCAAATAAACATATAAACTATATCAAATACCTAACAGTCCATCTCACCAACCCCATTTAACACCCAGGGCAAATATAATACCGCCAGCCTCCGGTAGGTTTCTAACAAGGATACACAAAGTGGGGCCCTGAGGCCAAAAGCAAATGTCATAGAATAGCATCTCCCATACCTGTGCTCAGAGGGAGGCTGGTCTGAGGATTATAGGGAGGAGTTTACCCACACACAGGTCATTCCTACAGAATAATTTGGAGCCTTTACTTTGCCAAAGGATACAAACTCCACAAGGGGATTTGGTATATATCATGGACTATGGTTTGGGCAAAGCTAATAACAACTCTGAACGAATTTTAGGAAATACTGCTGTGGAATATTCAATAAACACTAGACTCCACAGAGGCAAATAAAAGGAAACTGAATGCCTAAATTTACAGTCTGCTACATAATACGTATTCAATGCACAGCCCTTTGCTCCAGGCAGAAGTAATGATGGACATCTATTCATTTCTGAGGCTGCATTATTCTGCCCTCCGTCCAGTATTGACCAGTATTGACCATATGCATCGCTCGGCTGCTCAACACTCCCACCCCACGGTACCAGCAAAGTTCCTCTCGCTTGACAACAGGCCTCCGGCACGAAAATCAAGCCAGGGCTGGAGAAGACTTACCATAGCAGCTCTCACAGGCTCGCCCTAAGAGGGGATTCTGGGGCTGGAATGTGGTCCCCACAGCTCCGTTCACAGTGCCAGGCTTGCCATTGCTGGTGGATATTTGGTTGGGATTTGGTTTGCTGCTTTCAATAAAATGTAAAGGGAGGTGATAAAAACGATTTGTGTAATAAGGCAAAAGGTTCCAGATCTCATTACTGACTTATCTCAACTACACATAAATAAACATTTTAAAACGTTTGGGGAAGAATAAGTAAACTGGTAAAAACAAGGTGCTAAAAGGAGTCCAAACCACTCATCTACACAGCACAACCCCTTGCCGTCGAGTCGATTCTGGCTCATGGAGACCCTATACGACAGAGTAGAACTGCCCCATAGGGTTTCCAAGGCTGTAAATCTTTATGGAAACAGATTGCCACATCTTTCTCCTGCAGAGCAGCTGGTGGGTTCAAACCACCAACCTTTGAGCTAGCAGCCAACCTTTCGGTAAGCAGCCGAGTGCTTAACCACTGCGCCACCAGGGCTCCTCTCGTAACACAAGGGAATGCAAAATCAAACTCTTAAGCCTAATACTCACAAAATAAACTCAGCTATCATCTCTTCTCCACCCAAATACAAATTCCTGGGAATATCCTCTGGTGCTTTTGAAAGATACAACTTATTAAACTTTATAACTTACTATCATAAATTCTCCTGAGAAACGGAAACAATCTTTTGGATTGAAAAAGCAAGCCAAAGGCAGGACCCTTCTAGTGCAGGCTACCTACTCCCCATGCTTATAAGCTACGCTGAAGAGCACTGCACAGGTGCTGGGTACATAGTTTATTCTCAATAAACTCATCATTTAACGTTTATGTATTCAGTGCCTAGTAAACAACAGTCTCTGACCTTAAGGTGCCTTCATTCCAGAGGAAGAAGACAGAAAATAAGCACAATAAATGATCACATTATTTATTAGAAATGAATGCTGAATGAATAAATGCATACCATATTCTATCTGCATGGCTACTTAAGTGACAAGAGTTCACAACCATAAAGACACTTGGAATCTCAACAGTCCACTCAGTGGTTTCCTCTTCGCTCTGCTTCCCACCCCTAAATTCCAGTTATCACTCAAAGACTAGTGTGTAAACCTGGCCTGTGAAGGACGAAGGCTGAGCTGATAGCAAAGACCCTACTTAAGATTTCTTTTTGGTGCTGTTACGATAGCTCTTAGGTGACACATCCCCCTCCCGCCCCATGAGAAATCATTTTACCTCTGTGTGCACTGAGTTCCCTCTTCTATAAACAGGGCTATTATTTACACTTGCAATCTGTGTCAGCAACGTATTTTTAAGAAAAATTGGTTTCAAAACACACATTTTAAACCAGGCAGAGTGTATTTCCCTTCTTAGATTTTTCAGTAGAAAACACACACACACAAAAAGTGGTGATTTAGAATGACCAAAATTTATGTAGTAATATTTCTGACTTAAAAAAAACAAAAAATCCACTATACATGTATGGGTAGAAACGATCATCACCAGAAGCCAGAAAAATTAAAAATCTTGACATTTCACCCAGGGCAAAATATATGTGTTTAAAAAGAGCAAATACAAATTTACAGCTGAGCAGCATTTAAAAAAGAGTGATAGTAAATACAAATTCAGTTTTTCCACTAAATCTAGAATGTTATTTGACTGAATAAACCACTGGCCTTTATTATAACAACCACAAAAGAAAAACAAGAATGCAAAGACTGAATACAGACACGTGAATCACTTCAATTATGTTCTGCAGAAAGCAAGGTACCTACAGATTAATTCTCAGGGGACGAGTGATTGATGCCATGTGATAGTTTGAATAAACCTTCACTGAAAGACAATTGTGTAAAAAAAAGTTTTTAAAGATACATCAGATGAAACTGCCCTTTTATCTAATGCTCAGTCCACTCCTTCTTTCATCTGTGCTCCAGATTCTACCCTCCTGCTTTCTTGGGAATGTTGTCTGCTTGATTCAAACTCCCCTGGACCTTCCACATTACCGTTTAAACATATTTCTCTCATTTAAAAAACTCATCCATTATCCTCAAAGCCAAGAGTTCTTTCTCTCAACTGCCCTTTCCAGCCAGTTCTTCAGAGCTGCCAATATTCAGTCTACATTTCCTCAGCTCACATGCAGTTCTCACCACTCCATTAAAGATCACCAATGACCTCCATGTGGCTAAATTCACTGGCTATTTTTCACCGGCATTTGTCACTGTTGATTTCTATCCCTCCTTGAAACATACTTCTCCCTCAGCTTCCGTGATACTACACTTATTTTGTTTCCTTTTAGCCGTCTGGCCATTCCATCTCACTATCCTATGCTATCTGACCTATAAATACTGGATTTACTCAAGGTTTGTTTGGTCCAGTTTCCTTTTCTCTTACTGCTATTTCTAGGAAATCTCATCCATGGATTCAAATACAATATTATACACCGATGAAGCTCAAATTTGTATCTCTAGTCCAGACTTTCTCTCAGAATTTAAGATTAATATATCTGACAGCCTACTCAATACCTCTTGTTGGATAGAACAAACTCAACATGTCCTAAATCGGTTCCACCATTTCATAACTTGATGAATTCATGTCAGTCTACCCAGTTGTGCTAGCCAGAAACCTGGGATTCATCTCTGAATCCTGCCATTTCGAGAGCCACTACTGTAGCTCAAGCTAGTATCATCTTTCCTCTGCAAGAACCTCATAACTGGTCTCTCTGCATCCACTCTTATCTCATCCCTCAAATCATTTTCCAAAATATAGCCAGTCATCTTTTAAAGCACAATCTGATACATTTCCCTGTTTAAAATTCATTTCCACTGTTCTTCAGATGGATCCGATTCCTGGCCCTTGCCTACCATACCAGCCCCACCATGGCTCACCACTTCCTCATTTCATCCCGTCACATCGTCCTTCCCTCAGCATCTCAACTATGTCCTGTCCCTCCCTATCTCAGGATCCCACTGGCTTGGGAAGCCTCCACTACCTGATTAATTGCTCCTCATCTTCTAGAGTTCACTCAAACTCATTTTTTCAAGGAAGCCTTCCTGATGGCATTGACTGAGTTCTGGTCACTTAGTATAAACTCCCAATAGAAGCTATTCTTCTCTGTCGTAGTACTCATTGCACTAGGTGATCAGCTGACTGAAGTCTGTCTCCCCCATGCTGGAATGTAAACACCAAAGGACAGCCTGTCTTAAGCTTTCTATCTTTAGTACTGAACAGAGTGCTTTACAGGTATGCTACAGGGTGCCACAGAATGACTAAATAAAATAATTCTTAATCGATTATTTGTTTTCAAGTATTCTATTTGAGAGTTAATTAAGAAATTCATCAAAGGACTCAGATCCTTATCCAACTCAATAATGCAGCTGTATATTTACTATTTATGTATATGATGTGGGTAACTTTTCCTAAAAGTCTGATTAGAAATTTTGTCTTGAGTAAGGTCATGGAAGCTCCCTAGACACATCCAAATTCCCTGAGCGACCAAATTGCTGGGCAGAGGGCTGTGGGCCCATGGTCTCAGGGAACATCTAGCTCAACTGGCATAACATAGTTTATAAAGAAAATGTTCTACATTCTACCTCGGTGAGTAGCGTCTGGGTTCTTAGAAGCCTGTGAGCAGCTATGTAAGATACTCCACTGGTCTCACTCTGTCTGGAGCAAGGGAGAATGAAGAAAACAAGATACAAGGGAAAGATTAGTTCTAAGGACTAATGGACCACAACTACATGGCCTCCACCAGACTGAGTCAAGCACAACTAGATGCTGCCCGGCTACCACTACTGACTGCTCTGACAGGGATCACATCAGAGGGTCCCAGACAGAGCTGGAGAAAAATGTAGAACAAAATTCTAACTCACAAAAAAAGACCAGACCCATGAATCAAAAACACTGGAAATAACAAATGTCAGAGGGGCTGCGGGGAGATCGGAACACTTATGCACTGCTGGTGGGAATGCAAAATGATACAACCATTTTGGAAAATGATATGGCGCTTCCTCAGAAAGCTAGAAATAGACATACCATT